GGAATGTAATAAATGGGATAACCTTTAAAAAGCTGGCACCAGTTCCTCATCATTTCACTCTGCTGCAGTGACATAATTCAACAGCATTTTCATGTAACATTTTCTGTTACCTGAGCTGTGTTGTTTCCTCCAGGTGTGATCAGATGCATGACTTACTGACACGGCTGGTAGAAGTATTAGAAATATGGATGATGGGGACAAAACCAGAAAGTTTAAAAGAAAGCCTAAAACAATTCCTATGAAGACTTCAGCTTCCTGAACCATTTGAATTAGGGATATTAATACAGCCTGGAGGATAGAAGGTCATTTGGCTTCCTTCCCACTCTTGGCTAGCCACTTAATCTCTATATAATAAACAGTAATGCTGCTCCACAAGTTATTTTCCTTTTTTTTTTTTTTTTTTTTTTATTTTATTACAAGATTCATTTACTTCATTGTATGTTCAATTTGAGAGAAAAAGATTTGTCAGAGAATTCCAAAAGGTTCCCAGTAGTAGATCGGCTAAATGTGATATGCAAATCACTTCAGACTTGCAGCTACCCATTGAAAATAGCTGTGTGCAATTGTCCCAGTCATCTGAGTGTACTCTCTAATTACAGAAGAATCCAGGCAGTCTTTAATTTTAGGCATTCATGCCTTTCATCCGTGTTAACTGGGCCTGACCACACTTCTAATTCACCCATATTTTCAGTAGATTGCTCAGATGTTTCATATACTTTCTGGAGCAGTTTAGATGAACTGGAGTGGTTTATTTGCTCAGAAGGTTAGGGCATGCTAAAAGGAGCCCTTCTTCACTCAAATTGCTTCCTAGGAAGTATTTAGAATTGGCCTATCCAGAGCTTGAACCTTACATGCTGCCTTTGATAGAAGCAGCTTCAGGCTTTGCCTGATTCCCACCAGCACGTCCCCAGCCAGCTTGGGTGTAACAAATCCAAATTAGATTTGCAGTTCCATTCAGCTACTGTTGAAGAGGAGTGTAGGTAATCTTTGGAAGTTGCCTTTCAATATTTTACAATAGAAAGGTCCAAGTTCAGATTTGCAGAGCTGTGGCTCATGAAAAGGAAGTTCCTGCTCAAACATCTTGTGTCTAGATATAACCATGTGCAAACGCTGAGGTGTAAGATGTCTGATCTGTGGGGGAGATGTGGGTGTCTGGTTAGTGATAAGCAGGAAAGGATTGCAGAAAGTTGAGCCAGTGAAGAGGGAGATGCAATTAAATACAAGTCAATTTCCTCTGGTTTATTCAGTATATTTATTTTAACTAGTTTTGTCTTCAGTATTTAAGTTGATATTCAATATGGGCTGAAGCTGAGTAATTATCCACCCTGGCATGTTCCTGGTGTGCTGTTTTGTACCAATGACTTGGGAGAGGCTGGAGGGGATATTGTGTGCTGGGGGAGGAATGATGCTATGGTCATATTTCTTGCAGGCTTTCTTTCACACAGTTCCAGGCTAGCTTCAAGCTGATCCATGTGTATAATTTATAATTCTGGGCCTTTTAGTGAAAATTAGGACTCAGCCATCGCTGTGGGGACAGTAACGTCTGCATAGCAGGGATGTCTTGTGTCAGTATTTTAACTCAGACTGTAATGAAGAGCATATTATGTCATTGTTGCTTTTTACTGAAGACATGGAGTTGAAGATCTAGTGAAATCTAATGGGGTCGTTGTTTTCTTTCCTCAGATAAACAAGAAATTGTTTTTAGTGAGAACAGATCACAGCTTTCTCCATGTGCCTTTACCGTGGCTCTCAGAGCGCGCTGGTATCTGCAAGCAAAGGTCCTGTTCCCAGGGTGGGGGGCTGAGGCTAGTGGCTTGCAGGTGCTCAATGTCTATTAGACTTCTTCTGCCACTATAATAATAGATAATACAGTTGTTCTCTAAATAACATTGACTGGATTATTTACAATTTTTTGTAAACTTTGCTTAATGTCAGGTCCATGAATATTCATAGAACCATAGCAGGTACTCGGGTATTTACAGATAACTGTGCTCCCTGGTGAGCTTCTGGATCCCAGTCTCTTAATATTCTCAGTGCATTTACAGTAGTTCACTCATGAGCTTTCATACAGAGTGAATCAACTATTTCACTGGCAAGAAGCCTGGGAACTACACTGGAAAGAGTTTAGCCTGTACAGCTCTATGCTCTACCCAGGGCTCTACCCCTACCCCAGCAAACTTTCTACCCTCACATCTCTGTGCTCCTTTTCACCACTCCACACAGGGCAAGTAAAGATGATTGTCATCATACTATAAAAGCCACATACAGTTTTTCAGAGCCTTGAAGTGGGGATTCTGCTTGCACACTGGGAGACAGAAATCACCAAACTCTCCATCCTGCAGTTTGGAAGTGTACATGAACCACCAGCATGTACACAAATAGCTCCCACATATTCCTGGATTGTGTGTTCAGGAGCAGGGAGGTGTGGCAGAAGTACTGAGACAGGTTCCACTGCCAAAATAATCAAGCAAAGGGAATAGTTTCCAAGGTGTTCATTCCCTAAATTGTTTTTATTTTATTTTTTTTTCTGGCTTCAGTGGAGCCAGATATCTTCTGAGAAATCAGAGTTGCCTCTATTTTGACTTAATTCCTCTTGGTGTGGTGTAGTGGGGAGGTATTACAAATAAAGCTGCAGTGTAGCAAAACACAGAAGATCACTTTTTGCTTACCCTGCCCTTGCATCCCAAATTGAAAAGCAGTTAACACAGAACCCAAGATGAAATGCCAGAGAGGGGTTTGTACCATGTGTGAAATGGAAATGCTTTTGTTTAGAGGGAAAAAAAAAAGCCACCACAATCCACTGATGCTTGTTGGATGTGAAAATGGCAGCTCAGTGGTTTTGAGAATTTCCAAGTGTTTGTTGTTGTTCTATTAACTGACAGTGGGGCTGAACCTTCAAACATTTGGGTTTGCATTTAAGACAGAAATTCATATTGGAGTTTGTTTTCCCTGTTGATCATGACATGCCACTTTGCAGCGGATTTCATCTGAGGTTTAAATATTGTCAGCAGAACCCCATCCTTGAACTTCTGCTTGTTTGTAAGACAGATCCTGGAATTCCTGAAGATGAGTGGCTGGACAATGCTGTTGGAGATGTGAAGAGTTTTGATTGTAGACATTAGCACTTATCTCTAGAGATTCTTAGATGGAAGGAAGAGTTTCAGGTATAGTTTAAACTACCAAGATGAGTGAAATTATCAAACTGATGCTGGGCTGGTGAAATACTGTAGAAGGAACAGTTTTGTATCTCACGTGACTCTCATAGTAGCACCATGAAATCAAGAATAGGATAAAATGTTTCCACACAAACATGATTTGCTTTTTTGTCTGGTCCTGTTGCTTAACTAAGGTTTTGCTTGTTCCTGTTTCTGTGGCCTTTGGCAGGGAGGGAAGGCCTCCATTCTCCATTTCTGTCAGACAGTATGAGAATATTGGCATTTGATGATGGCCTCTTTGCTGATAAAATGTTGGCCTCAGTAAAAACACTCCTCTAATTTGGCAGCCAGTCCTTTACAGCCAACTGCAGATTGATAAATATTAAGTAGCTTGTTTGTCTGAAACATCAAGAGAGCAGAATAATCCAGCTGCAGCCAATTCCTTAACACAAACTTGGACTTCCATAGTGCAATTTTATGGATTAGGTAAAGCCAAGACAGCTTGCAGTGCAAAATCATAGAATCACAGACTGTTTTTGGTTGGAAAGGACCTTAAAGATCATTTATTTCCACTCCCCCTGCATGGGCAGGGACACCTCTCACTAGACCAGGTTGAGCCTCATCCAACCTGGCCTTGAACACTTCCAGGGATAGGGCTTCCACAACTTCCCTGGGCAGACTGTTCCAGTTCTTGCCACTGTATCAACCACTATATCACTTTTGTTTTATCTCCATTGGCATTTGCTAATATAGCAAAATACAATGTGGTGGCTGGTGCAGTGCAGCACCAGCTGCTGCAGACCAGCATTTTGAGCCCATTAGATTTGCAGATTTATTACAGCCATGAAATATTCTCTATTGTTTCAATTTGAGTCGTGTTTGGTTATGGATGTTTATTGCTAATCTGAAATCCTGTCTGTCTGGACTGATTGGACAACAGATCAGCAAGGGATCCTAAGTGAAAAGCACACACTAAAATACTTCCTGTCTGGGTTTTAGTGCATCTGCATTAGCTTTTATACCAGAGGTGCAGAAAACCTTGGTCTTCTGGGGAATCTTGAAAGAAATGGTAAAATAGCTAAATAAAGAAGATGACGCCGAGAGCCTGAGCTGAAGTTCAGGACACAGGAAGATGTGGCTGGCAAGAAGGATTTGAGGGCAACTCTACACATGCTGTAGCAGTACCATCAGTTCCTGGAGCCTCCTGTGCTCCAGCAGCTGCTACTTTTCTAAGCAATATCTGTTCACTCTTTTTTTTTTAGCTGATATTTGGAAGCGGCAAAATTTTGCCATGAAAATTCCTTTGTGTGCTGGTCCTGCCAGTTGGTGCAAACCAGAGCATTGCAAAGGTCACTCTGTTCACAGGATCAAAACTGGGCCAGGTTTAACTGCAGCCTCACAGGAGAGTCCCTGTGAAGGAGCTGGGGACACTGTACCCCTGGTCATCTTTGTGTTTTAAAGGACTTCTTTACAAATGGGCTGATTTTAAAACACCACTTTCAGTTTCTATAACTGCTTCACTCTGCCTGTTGAGCACAGCACATGCTGGGTCTCACTTCTGATGAGTGAAGAACTTGGGTTTTCTCTGTGCACCCAATCCTTGTAGTAAGTTACATGACAAGCAAAGAAGAATCAAACTAGCAGCAGCAGGAAGGAAGATGGCTTTTTGACCATTTAAACTCACAACCATATTAGATTATTTCTTTCAAAATGTTTCACCCTCACTGTCCTCCTGTTGCAGGTGGCAGTGGTGGGAGTGTTGCTACAGACAAGGCAGAGATTTTCTAGCTCAGCTCTGGGGTTTCAACTAGATGTTTGTTAATATATCCATGTTTTCTCTTACAGAACATTGATATTACCAACTTCAGCAGCAGCTGGAGTGATGGTCTGGCCTTCTGTGCCCTCCTGCACACCTATTTGCCTGCACATATTCCTTACCAGGAGCTCAACAGTCAGGATAAAGTAAGTTTTGTTGTACCTGCTCCTACACCATTTGCAGAATTCCCTGTGAACATGATCAGTTTTAAAGGGTATGTGATGGAGAGACAGTGTTACAAGATCTTTGATACAGAATAAGTAGATGGGAACAAACAAGTCTCAGCTGAGAACTTAAAAAAGACTGACTGAGAAGGGGAAACCAGCAGTGAGCTCTCAGAGAGAACATCAGGGGCTACTGGATAAAGAGTCAGTGACAAGTTACCTTAATCCAGTGTTTTGTCTTTACAGAAGAGAAACCTGCTGTTAGCATTTCAAGCTGCTGAAAGTGTAGGCATCAAACCCAGCCTGGTGAGTAACCTTCTTTTAGCAAAGGAAGATTTGTGGCATGCACTGTCCCAAAGCCTGTGTTGCCATTTGAAAATGTGCACTGAAAATGTCCTCCTAGTACCAGGGAAGGTTGTACCACCACCTCTGGAAGTTTGTAGTGTTAGAACCTCCAGACAGAATTTGTAGAGTAATGGAATTGATATAATTTGAAGGAACTTCTGGAAGTCATCTAGTATGGAAATAAGAGTATTAAGTCCTTCTCTTGGAGGCTGATTCCAGATGAGTCCTGTTTTCATGGCCAGACTTGCCTGTTAGGCCATTTCCTTCTGTTTTAGTGTTTCAAGAAACAGAATGGTAATTTGTTAATTTAACTGTTTAAAAAGCCTTTTCTAAAATCAACAGTATGATGACAAGGAGAAGATAAGTTTAATATGAAGGAAAAATATACGAGGTTCATGAGCTAAATACAGAACCAAAGACATGCAAAGAAGCAGCAATTTAAATGAAATTATGTAGAGAATTGATCTTTGCAGATAGAAGAAATCTCTTCATAATGTAAAATGCTTCTGGCTGTTTAACTAGTTTGTTAACAGGTTTCAGAATTGTGCTAGGCCAGGAAATTTTTCCCATGGATTTTTATGCTGCATGTGGCTTTAAGAAGCCCTGGAATGGAAGGAGAAATAGTGTTCAGTAGCCACAGCTACTCAGAGGACCCAGTGAGTTGCCAGTGGTGGTGCTTGACCAAGTTTTGACCCCGTGTCTGTTCTCTGCAGGAGCTCAGTGAGATGATGTACACGGACCGGCCAGACTGGCAGAGTGTGATGCAGTATGTTGCCCAGATTTACAAGTACTTTGAGACCTGAGATGCAGAACAAGAGGTGGACAGAAGTGGGGAAGAGAACAAAGAATGCTACAGATGCACTCGATCACTTTAAAAAGCCACTTGCTCCTCTTTCACAGCCAACTTAAGTCCTTTGTTGGAAAGAAAGCTCTTCCATCATGTTGATTGCATCTGGGACTGCAACCAAATAAATATCCCTTGTCCATCTATACAAACCAAATTCATCTGTAATTTTATTCCCATGTGGAAATTGCAAAGCATTTTCGAACATGCGTGGGATATTTCTGAAGAGGATCCCTTGTGCTAAGCAACATTTGCCTCAAAACAGACTCCACCAATGGGAGACCTGCTACACAATGAAGTTCTAAATCTATGTGGACTCTGCTGGCACTCAAGGGAGGCTGGGAGATTAATACAAAAGCTCACAAAAATACTCTTCTTGCCAAAACGTGCTTAACTCATCCCAAATACTTGTTGTTTTCTTGCCTCCATGTGTTTTTTAAAACATCAGGACAATTGCACATCAGTCTGTAGAACCTTAACCTGAGTTATTCTCACCTGTCTCACTCATTAAGTACACTACTTTGCTCGTTGTACTTAACCAGCAGGAGAGCAACAGGATCATTTGTAACTCAGAAACCACACTCTGTTCCATCACCAGTTAGTGAAAGAACTCTCAAAGATCCTGTTGATTGCTGGGACTTCGTTCCAGATCGAATAGAAGGAATTTCTTTCAGGAAAAATAGCTTTATTACTACAACTTCATTACTTGATTACTACAGGGAGCCAGACCTTGGTTTCCCAGCTGACTGTGCAGGCACAGTTGTCATCAGAATATTGCAAATGCAATTTCCTCACTTTAGTTTGCAAGGTGCCAGTGGTCAGGTGATGACTCTAAGCAATACAGCCACATCCCAGTAGTTCCTGTTGGTGTGGATTGAGTGGAGTAACTTCTTTCTTCTCTGTTAATCCTGTGCAATCAGCACAGATATGGAATTGCTGTGTAGAGGCACAAATCTTGACACATTGGTGCCCTGTCCAGTAAAACGTAATCCATAGGGCACTGTTTGAGGCTTGGAAGTGGTGTTACCCTGGGAAGGAGCACTGGTATATTAGTCCTAATGGAAGTTGCAACTTGCAAGAATGTAACTGGAACTCCTCTCTGTGTCATGGAGACCTCTAAGGCGCCAGAAAGCAGCTTTCTGGCTCAATAATGCTGTTGGTGAAACGTCTGAAAGATACTGTTTAATTTCCATTATACTTTTTCTCTTATTTCACCTCATGAAGTTGAATTTTCTGTTTGGCTCCAAGGATGGCAGGGTCAAACAGGCTGCTTCACTTGTCCCAGGAGCAGGTCGTGGAGAGCACACTTTGTACAGGACCTCAGAGAAGGCTGCCTAGCTGCTTTAGGTGATGCTGGTAGAAGAAGGTTTTTGTTTAGTTAGCATGTTTAACCCTGTGACAGACTTGGTGCTTTGTGGATGTTAACTGTAGGGAGTTAGGGATCATTTCTCTCTTACAAAAAAGTAGTACTGTGTGCTCACTGCTCTTAACTCTTGAAAAAGAGGTTCATGAAATAGGAAGGAACTTGGTTTTGGGTTTGTTGGGGCTTCACAGAGGGTTGATCTCAGCCTCTGCCTTCCCCACAGTGCTTGGTTGGTTGGTTGTTTAAATACTATTTAATTAGTAAACAACCTATTTCAGACTGACTTTCTCACAGCAAAATCCAGGATGAAGGGAGAGATGACAGTGGCCAAGGTCACTGCCTGCACTGGACAGAAAGGAAGCTGGAGGAATGCAGTGGGTGCCTGTTTCACAGGAGAGAATCATCACTTGCTCTTAGTTTTAGTCTGACATTTCTTCTAATCCGTCACCCCCGTCCAATCTTCTGAGAGCCTGTGTGATAAAACAGGACAGTGGCGCGCACTGACAGTGCCCTTTGTGTCCTCCTGTGCTGTGACAAAGCAGTTGCAAATGCTGACCAGAGCTGTTTCTTTGCAAGAGAGTGCTTTCTAGATTGAATTAAGTCCCTGGGATTTTCAGCATCCCCAGGGAACGTGGGGGTAGTTGCTCTAAGTGTTCTCAGATACAAGTCTCCCGTTATCTGACAAGATGGAAGAGAAAAAGAGCTGCCATGGAGGACTTCATTTAGGAAGGCAATCACCCTGCAGAGCTCCACTGCCTCGTGGATGCAGCAGGCTCTTTTCCCTGGAGGTATCCCTTGGCAGAGATCCCACCTCTCTCCAACGGGCTGCAGTTCAAAGCCTCTTGAAGTCAACACAGCAAATTCCATATTCCTCAGTGGGCTTTGAATCGGGCACTTGCAGGGATGAGAAAAACTATTTGAATTCCCAGCGTCTGGTAAACATTTCCAAGTAAGAGGGCTTCACTGGGTCTAAAAAAGAAAGATGATCTTAACCCTCTGGTCTCTGGAAGCATGTTCCCTGTGACTGGGAGATGCACTGATCACACACATTGTCTGATGGATCAGTGTTTTAGGCTTCAAGTGCAGTTCTCACATTTCTTCTAATCTTCTCCAGGCCTTTTTCTAACCTCACAGACCATTCTGTTTGCTCTAGCAGCTTCTTTTTTTCCAAAGAATTGTTGCAAAGCAATGTTTCTGTCCTCATTTTGCAGCTTATTCTCCTGAGCCCCCCAGTAACATAGACCAAACACTAATTCTACCCAATTCAAGTGGTATATTCATTTTTTTTTTTTACTTTAGGAGTTAGAACAAGCAGGGAAGAAGATTTTCAGTTTTACCATTTGCTCAATGTTACTTCTCAGTCCTCAAACATCTCATTTTGAAATGCTGGTACTTGGAGGCTGGGAGATGCTCTTCCAGATTACTTTTTTGGGATTAAGAATATTGTTTATTTGTTCTTTTAACTGTTACAACATTGTGTGTTTTTTCTTTTGTCTGAATCTTGCACGGTTACATTTCTAGACCTGGGTTTTTAAAAAATTACTGGTTTTTTTATAATTTTGCCTTACAATTTTGACATTAATTTCAACTTGTCCCACTCAAGGTGCTGCAGACCAGCCTGAATTTTTAGAAAATCTACAGGCCCTTGTAAGACACCTGAAATTTGAACTATGAAATTAAAGTTCTAGTTGCCTTGAAAATTAGAGAGTTTGTTAATGAAGTTAAGGCAGAGGTTTATATGGATGATCTTCAAAGAAGTTCTAAGAATCTTCTGAAAATGTCCTAGAAATGGGACATGGGATGTATGACATGAATGGTGAAATGTGTTGTATCAGTAACAGTTTACCTCAACTGCCTAAATCCTTCCTAACTTTCCCTCTTAGGAGCAGTGGATCTTTCCCTGATGCAGGCAGATGAAATCTTTTCACCATGTTGCCACGTGCTCCCTAAATATCCTGTCCCTCTTGAAGGTACCTGCACATGCTTGTACGTGTGTGCTTGGATAGTCTGTTGGGCTCCAAGATATGGAATGGCTGATTTTGGATGAGCAGGTGAGGAGAAGGGTTAGGATGGGGATTCCAGTGAAGTTCCATGGAGGGGTGGATTGTGTGACTGTAGTACTGCAGCTGTTAGAGAAGAAAGGAGATTGGAGTGTGGGAAGTATAAAATGTGAATCCCAGAACTTCTGGTGAGTCATAGAAGGTACAAGTTGTTTCGTGGCTTGGGAAGGTAGGGAGGTGTTGAGGAGTGAGCCCAGGGGCAGCCCTCTTGAGAAGGTTTTCTGGAAAGGCTGATGAGCTGCTTCTGAAAGTTCACAATGAAACCAAACAGTGGGCAGGTCCTCCAGGAGAGGGACAGGGGGTGTACCCACCTGGGCCTTTGTGGACAGCAAAAGACATCAGCTTGAGAGTCCTTGCTGACTGTCACCTTGAGTGACATTTCTCCTAAGAGGGCAGCTGGGGGTGGATCTCAGATGAGGAGAGAAGAGAGTAGGGAACTTGCTGCCTTTGCCAGGGCCCCCTTCCTGTGCCTGTGACAGTCACGGAAATGCAAAGGGGACAGAGATTTCCTGGATCTTCCTGTGCCACAGCAAGGCAGCTGTAGGAAGTGACTGATTTTTGACTTATGCACGTTCTTCAGTTTCCTCTCAGTGAACCTCATTCTCTTTGACTTTTGGCACATTTTCTTTTTCAAATTTAAAGTTGTTTTCAGGTTTTCTCTGGTTTTTTTCTTGTTTTGTATGTGCAACTGCTTATGTGCAAGTTGTCTGTCCAAACCAAACATGTGCACACTGGCAGGAGGATTAGTTCTTCCTGTTTTATTCCTGACCTGAAACTCTTCAAAATCTACCTTTTTTGCTTCACTGACTTCCCCCCTTCCTTGGCAATGAAAATATGAGCATTGGCTCATGGGTTTGAACCTCCCTCATCTATCTGTGCTTCCAGCACTGGGTCTTCCAGCAGGAGGGATCTGAGGGGGCAGTTGTTTGCAAAGCTGTGCCTTGTGTGTCTGGGAAAGGGCAGAGGCTGTATGGGATGAGATGATGCATTTTCCTGTCAGAAGAGGGCTTTTGCCTAAAAAGACTCAGGGCACTGAGCATTAAGACATTTTTAAACCCAGCAATAACTTCTACTATGCTAGACTATATTGGTTCTTACCAACTCCAGTGCCATTGAGACTCACTCACCAATACGGTGCGGGATCGAGTTTATAACTGAACTGCAATTAACATTTTTCTCAACTGATGGTCTCTACATTTTTGACTTGCTCGTGTGCCAAGTTCCACCGGGCAGTGCTGGACACGATGTTTTTATTGATTGTTGTTGGTCCAGGCTTGAGTTTGTCATATGGGTTAATCACCTCTTAACAGTCAAGTACTTTTAGCTTCCTCTCTTGGGCACAGATGTTGCATCGTAATCTAATTTATACAAAGAGCACATTAGAATGTATATACTAGGCATTGCCACATTTGGACATGCTAATATTTAAAGATTAACATTATTAAAATGTATGATGCAAAAAATCTGTGTAATATTTCTAATAAATCTTTTCCTGTTTCTGATGCTTGTTGCAGTGTTTCAAATACATAGCAAACCAGATTCCTCTGTGGTCTGCCGGGAAGCAGGACTCCCAGGAGGGTTTTAAAAAGATATTCATGGTTTGTTAATTGTCCTATGCTGGTAGCAAAGAAAGTTTGGTGAGAATGTTCATAATTACATCATGTTACATTTTTTAAGTAACTCAGATGCAGTTGGATGCCTTTCAGAAGGTTGTCTTGGGGATAAAGGAGTGCAAGAGATCTCTCAGTTTCTGAAACAATTATTATTGAAGAGCCAGTAGGAAATGATCCTAATGCAGAAGT